CGCTTGTTGGAAGAGCCATGTCTTTAGGGCGCGGCGGAAGGAGGGGAGATCCGGGATCACCCGGATCTCTGGNGCCATGGAGCGCTTTGAAGATGATAACCAACACCTTGAAGCGCACCCGGAAGGCCACCGGCAACCAGTGCAGCTCGCGCAGCAGCGGTGTTACATGGGAGCGACGAGTCCCTCCCAACACCGCCCGCGCGGCCGCATTCTGGACCAGTTGGAGCCTCCGGGTGCTCCTCAAGGGGAGCCCCATGTAGAGAGCATTACAGCAGGCACCTTCCTTGTAGCAAGCTAATGAATCAGACCCATGGCATTAATTCACCTGACTGGGGGCAAAAGCTTGGGAATATTATTTTGGCGTCCTGCGTTTGTTCATATAGGTTTAGTCTCGCGCAGTTGATTGACCAAAGTAACTGAAAACGGACTGGGAGAAAACCAAGAGGAAAAACGGCCAACGGTGGGAAAGGATAGCCACGAATGAATTCGTTACTCTATACTTAAAAGCTAGCTAGAAAGCCCGTTTGGGGGGGGGGGGTTGGTAAAAGAGGAGATTCTAGTTGTCTCTTAGGCAGGGAAGTGGCTAGGTGACTTTGGGTCGGCCACTCTCAGCCCAATACTGGGAAGTCAAACCCCCCCCCCCCCCAAAACACCACCAACCCCATCCATCTATCAATCCACATTGTGCAGTACGGTCAAATGTGGTCCATGATCTTTAGCAAAGTTTTCAGACGGCAGTGGATTAGTGTGTGTGTGTGTGTGTGTGTGTGTGTGTGTGTGTGTGTGTGTGAGCGAGAGAGAGAGAGAGACAGAGACAGAGACAGAGACAGAGACAGACAGACAGACAATGAGAAAATAACAATATGGAGGTCTTCTGGTCCAACCCGTGTGTGTGTGTGTGTGTGTGTGTGTGTGTGTGTGAGAGAGAGAGAGAGAGAGAGAGAGAGAGAGAGAAAAGAAATAGCAAGAGGGAAAGAAAGCGAGAAAGAAAGAATGAGAGAGAGAGAAAGGAGAGAAAGAAAACAGGGACAGTAAGAGAAAGAGAGAGAAAAGAAAAAGAGAGAGACAGAGACAGAAAGAGAGAGAGAGAGAGCGGGAGAGGGAGAGAGAAAGAGAGAGAAAGAAAAAGAAAGAGAGAAAGAAAAAGAGTAAGAGAGAGAAAGAATAGGGACAGAGCAAGAGAGAGAGAAAAAGAGAGAGACAGAGAGAGACAGGAAGAAAGTCAGAAAGAAAGAGAGCGAGAGAAAGAGGGGGGACAGAGAGGGAGAGAGAAAGAAAGAAAAAAGAGAAAGAAAGAGAAAGAAATGAAAGAAAGTTTGTGTGACAGAGAAAGAAACAGGTCAAGAGAGAGAGAGAGAGAGAGAGAGAGAGAGAAAGAGAGAGAGAGAGAAAGAAAAAGAGACAGAGCAAGAAGAGAGAGAGAGAGAGAGAGTAAGAGAGAAAGAAAGACACGGAGTGCTTTTTAACAAATCCGATCCGCCAGGGTGTGACGGGGCTCCTCCCGATTGTATCCCCGGCTGACCTCTGCAGTGTCTCAGGTCTAACTTCATTTCCAAGAGCTGCTTTGAACTCCACAGGTGGATGGGTGGGGGGGGGAGGCGGCCCCCCATCCCATCCTGCCTTGTGCGGCTGCTCTGCAATCCCGGGGGAAAGACACGGCTGCTTTAAAGCGTCGCAGCCGGGTGAGCCGGCCTTGGGCTCGGAGACACCGCTTGGAGGCCCCCTCCGGAGGGCTGCGCTGCTTCCGTCAGGAACGCCCAGCCAACGGAAAGCGCGCGGGAAACCGTTGCGGGTTGTGCCTCTCCTCCCTACCTCTGGGACACCACAGGCCCTCTTGGAAGCATTAAACACATCCAAAAGCCCGACCCAATACAGGGGGGTCCCCAACTTTAGCGACCACTTGAAGTTACAATGCCCCGTCCAAAAGGACCCTGGTGACTCTTTTCACACTTACGACCGTTGCAGCATCCGCAGGGTATTCTGATTAAAATCTAGAAGCTTGGCCAACCGACTCGTACTTATGACGGTTGCCGTGTCCCGGGGGTCCTTCTGACCAGCAAAATCAAGGAGGGGGGGGGAGTCAGGTTCATTTAACACCGGTTACTATGTTTGTTTGTTTATGTTTATTTAGATTTTGTATACCGCCCTATCTCCCTTACGGGACTCACGGCGGTGAACAGGCGATAATAAAAATCACAATAAATATCTATTCTAAAATCAAATTAAATAAATAAAGGTGTTACTAACTTAACACCTGCAGAGATTTGCTTAACAATTGTGGCAAGAAAGGTGCAGGATGGGGCAACATTCGCTTAACAAATGTCTTGCTTAGTGGCGGAAATTTTGGACTCGACCGTGGTCGTAAGCCGAGGAACACCTGCAGCCGGAAAGCCCCCCTTGATTCCTGTGATTCTGACAAATAAAACACCAGCTCCCTCCATTTCAAAGCCTCCCTCCTGTAGGGAGAGCTGGGAATCTTAAGCCACTGTGTTTCTGGTCTGCCACCGAAAGCTGCACATTTTCTCCCCTTCGGAATCCATCCCGCTTCTCATAATAATAATAGTAATAATAATAATAATAATAATAATAATAATAATAATAATAATAATAATAAATAATAATAATAATAATAATAATAATAGTGGTGGTGGTGGTGGTAGTGGTGGTGGTGGTGGTGGTAATAGTAGTAGTAGTAGTAAAGCTGGAAGGGACCTTGGAGATCATTTAGTCCAACCCCCTGCTCAGGCAGGAAACCCTATATCATTCCAGACAAATGGCTGTCCAGTCTCTTCCAGTGTTGGAGCATTTACAACTTCTGGAGGCAGGTAGTTCCACTGGTTAATTGTTCCGACCGTCAGGAAGTTTCTCCTTAGTTCTAGGTTGCTTCTCTCCTTGATTAGTTTCCATCCGTTGCTTCTTGTCCTGCCTTCAGGTGCTTTGGAGAAGAGCTTGACTCCCTCTTCTTTGGGGCAACCCCTGAGATATTGGAAGACTGCTATCCTGTCCCCCCTCGTCCTTCTCTTCATTAAACTAGACATCCCCAATTCCAGCAGCCGTTCCTTATATGCTTTAGCCTCCAGTCCCCTGATCATCTTTGTTGCTCTTCTCTGCACTCTTTCTAGAGTCTCAACATCTTTAGGAGATCTCAGCCCTCTATTTTTTTCTGCTTACACCTTGGTGCAAATATTTGCATTTTGGGAAACTCAGCCTTAAAGCCACGGCAGCTACACACAGAAGAAGCAAGCCACCTGCTTCCCTCAACCTTTCTCCAAACGTGGAAGGGTTACTAAGGGGCTATGCTACTGGCGCGCCGAGGTTTGACCAGCCAAAATCCTCTTGTCCACCGGAAACAGGGAGTCCCATTTTGACTGGAAAGAAACGGATCCCTCGGACATTTATCTCCCCATGAACCCAATTGTAGGCAAGTCCTCTTGTCTGTCGCAAATTTGCAGGCAAAGCGTGGCTTTGTGTCCTAAATCACCACCACCACCACCACCCCTCCTTACAATCCTGTTTCTCAGGCTATTTGAAAACAAATTCCACCCTGGCCGCGCCACGTAAAAATCCACGCTTCTTGCTGAGGGTTTCAAAGCAGCGGGAGCTGCTGGGTTTTCCAATATTTTAATTGGTGCCTTTTGTCTCCAAAGATGCCCACCCGACAATGGGGACACAAAGCTCTGGAAAACGACGGAATCGGCTGTCTTAAAACGACAACGGGGTTCTTATTTTTTATTTTAAAGAAGGTTTACGAATCCCTCAAAAAGGTATCCCGTTGCACAGAAAAGGGAATGGAACAAAGGCGTGCTCTTTTATTTCATCCATTCCCACCCACCCCCAAAAATCTGTCTTCCCCACGCGGGCACTCACTTTCTGACTTTCCCCCTTAATAATGTCAATTCTGGGGACGTCCCAGGGGGGAAGAAAAGGCACTTTTTTCTCTCCCTCCGCCCCCCGCTGCAAGCATCCTCTTACCCTCACACGGTTAAATGCAAATTCAGCTTTCCAGACCTGCTCCTAGGAACACGCAGCACACACAGTTCCTACGCCACCTACTGCAAAGCTGAGCTGACAAGCTCATGCAAGGCTCAGGGCACTTCTTCCCTACTAGCCTGCTTCCCGGGCTGAATCGAGGGGGTTTCGGAAGGAAATCTCCCGCCCGCCTGAAGCAGAAAAGAGGGGCCAGGCAAGGCGGCCGGGAGGGCGACCCTCGGAGCATCCCTCGCCAAGGAGCCCACCGCCGGCTGTGTGAAATGGAGAACGGGAAGAAAGGCAGCAGCCAGTCGGAAGGCAGCGAGCAAGGCAAGGATTGTAACCTGTCTCCGGTGACTCTCAACGTGGGGGGCTACCTCTACGTGACCCAGAGGCAAACCCTCACCAGATACACGGACTCCTTGCTGGAAAGGGTGGTGACCGGGAAGACGCTCTGCCCGTCGGACGCAGAGGGCCATTTTTTCATCGACAGAGACGGTCTCCTCTTCAGGCACGTCCTGAACTTCCTAAGGAACGGGGAGCTGCTTCTCCCGGAGGGCTTCAAGGAAAGCCAACTTCTGGCCCAGGAGGCGGAATTCTTCCAGCTTCACCTCTTGGCGGAGGCGGTGAAATCCAGGTGGGAGAAGGAGCAGCTGGCCTCCAGGGAGGCCACCTTCCTGGAGATCACCGACAGCCACGACCGTGCCCAGGGCCTGCGGATTTTTTGCAACGCGCCCGACTTCATCGCCAAGATCAAATCCCGCATCGTTTTGGTCTCGAAAAGCAGGCTGGACGGTTTCCCCGAAGAGTTCTCCGTCTCTTCCAACATCATTCAGTTCAAGTACTTCATCAAGTCGGAAAACGGGACCCGTCTGGTGTTGAAGGAAGACAACACCTTCGTGTGCACCTTGGAGACGCTCAAGTTTGAGGCCATCATGATGGCCCTCAAGTGCGGCTTCCGGCTGCTGACCAGCCTGGATTGTTCGAAAGGATCCATCGTCCACAGCGACGCGCTTCACTTCATCAAGTGACGACTCGGGGACCCGAGGCCACGAAAGCATGCAGCCGGTCGGTCTCATCCAACTTTCCAACACATCGGCCGGCGGTTTATCCGGCTCGGCTGATCCCACAGCCCTGCGGCTCACGAATTCATGAGAACTCGTGGTATGTAACATTTGTAAAAGTCCACCGCCTGCCAGTTCGTTGTGTCCGTTTTAACAACAACCACCGTAATAAAAGAAAAAGAAAAAGGAAAAAAGGGTGTTTGTTAGATGTGATCAAAACCAAAGTGAGCGCTGAAGCCGTCTCCCTCTCTCTGTGTTTGCTCGCTTCTGCTTTTCTCACGCCGAGCCCGGGGACGAACGAACAGGCTGGTCTGCATTTCAGCGCGGATAGAATGCGTTGCTTCTCCCTCCGCTCGAGAATGATAAAAATGCTTTCCCGTTCTGGCTGTTATTTATCTTTCTGGGCTGATCCTGGTTCCAGAGGGAAAACGGTTTGTCTCTCTGTTGGCTGATGTTTAAATACGCAGCGCAGTTGCAGGAATTGGGGATGTCTACTTCAGGGGTGAGCAACTGGGAGTTGAAGTCCACGAGTCATAAAAGAGCCAAGGTGGCCTACTCCTGGTCTAGTCTAATGGAAAGAAGGACCAGGGGTGACCTGATAGCAGCCTTCCGATATTTGAGGGGCTGCCACAAAGAGGAGGAGGGTGGGGTCCACCTCTTCTCCAAAGCACCTGAAGGGGGAGGACAAGAAGCAACAGATGGAAACTAACCGAGAGAAGCAACGTGGAATGAAGGAGGAATTTCCTGACAGGGAGAACAATTAGCCGGTGGAACTCCTTGCCTCCAGATGTTGTGGGTGCTCCAACACTGGAGGCTTTTAACAAGAGACTGGAATGGTTATAGGGTCTTCTACCTGAGCAGGGGGTTGGACTAGATGACCTCCAAGGTCCCTTCCAACACTGCTATTCTATTCTAATTCTATTCTAGTCTAGTCTACTCTATTCTAGTCTATTCTTCTACTCTATTCTAGTCTATTCTATTCTATTCTTCTCTATTCTACTCTATTCTATTCTATTCTTCTCTATTCTATTCTCTATTCTATTCTATTCTATTCTATTATTCTATTCTATTCTATTATTCTATTCTATTCTTCTCTATTCTATTCTCTATTCTATTCTATTATTCTATTCTATTCTATTCTATTCTACATCCGATTCTATATCCGATTCTACATCCGATTCTATTCTATTCTATTCTATTCTATTCTATTCTATTCTATTCTACATCCTATCCTATCCTATCCTATCCTATTCTACATCCTATCCTATCCTATGCTATCCTATCCTATCCTATGGTTATAGGGTCTTCTGCCCGAGCAGGGGGTTGGACTAGATGACCTCCAAGATCCCTTCCAACTCTGCCATTCTGTAAATCACCCTGCAAGGTCTCAGATCTAGTGGGATTTAAAGCTGTACACAGACATCCACTGTATTTAACTAGCAATAGAGAAGATGCTACATCATGTATCGTTCAGGATGTCATCCTTTATCTATCCAAACAGTAGGAGGAAAGGAAAGTGGGGGGGAAAAAACATCTAATCTCTTATTAACTTTGGCCCTTTAGAGGACAGTGATTTAGACAGAACGCCGAGACAAAACACTTCACAGTTCCAGAAAAGACTTCGATGTCATCTTTTTTACATTTTAAAAATCCCTCTTTTTTTTTTTTTTTTTAGAAAAGACAGGTACTTCTCGAGCGCAACCGAGTCCAACATTTTCCGTCGCTAAATGAGACGTTCGTTCAGGGAGTTTCGCCCCCATTTTACAGCCTTTCTTGTCACAGTCGTTAAGCGAATCACTGCAGCTGTTAAGTGAGTAACGTGGTTGTTAAGTGAATCCAGCTTCCCCCTTGATAGACGGTCGTAAAAGGGGATCCCTGAGACCGTCGTAAACACGAACCGGTTGCCAAGCGTCTGAATTTGGATCACCCGATCATGGGGATGCTTCAAAAGTTGTAACTGGGGGGGGGGGAGAAAAGGTCACAAAATCCCTTTTTTTCAGTGCCGTTGTAACTCGGAACGGTCACTAAACGAACCAGCCAGGACTAATTGTACACATTCGTGCCAAAATAAGGGGGGGAAAAAAATCTAGTTAACCCAGCAGAGGAGACAGCTACACGCGGTAAGATGTGAGACGCACACCACACACCTCAACACTACGAGCGTCGCACACAACAACCAGGCTTTCAATTGTACAGGGAGCCTGGAGGGCTGCCAGGATGGTGGGAATCAACAGCCAACTTTGCGTTCCGTCATTAACTTTATTTCCTTCCCTTAAAAAACTCCAGGTTTTCTGTCCAAACTACAGCAATAAAGTCTTCTGGTTTTTTGGGTTTTTTTTCCTATCAGCAGGGAAACACCACGCTTAAGCGTGTTGTAGTCGGCATTTACTACGACTCCCAATTATTTCTGCCCTGTGTTCAAGAGCGGACGTCTGCTCCAGGGCAGCTTAGAGTAACCGGCTAATATATTAATCCGCTCACATTTTAAGCCGTTTAAAAACATCTGGATTCTTTCCGAGGGGTGGGGGGTTGGCTGGTGTGTGTGTGTGTGTGTGTGTGTGAGGAGACAGGTAAAGGTTTCAAACGTTCAAAGCACTGGATGTGCGTTAAACTGCTATCATCTTCACTACTTAGAAAGAAAATTCGTGGGATTGCGGGGTTATTCATCTATTGATTAATTTTATTTTTATTTCAAATGGCTACCATGGGTTGCATTCTTGCAAACGGGGGGGGGGGGTGGGGGTGCAAGGTTCATAGGCAACGCACATTGCGTTCAAAAAGCAGCAAGATTGAATATAACTGGGATCATTCGATAAATGATTTGTTAGCACCTGAAGCCAGAAGAAGCAACCATGGATCTGATCAAGGAGAGAAACAACCTGGAATTAAGGAGAAACTTCCTGACAGTGAGGACAATCAACCAGTGGAACAGCTGGCCACCAGAAATCGTGGGCGCTCCGTCACTGGAGCTTTTAAAGAAGAGACTAGAAAATCACCTGTCTGAGATAAGGTTTAGGTTCTCCTGCTTAAGCGAGGGGTGGACTAGAAGACCTCCAGGATCACTTCCGGCTCTATTCTATTCCAAATTATGCTCTGGGCCACGATTACAGCTAACCCAAGTATTTTATCCTACAGGAGGAAGGAAGCAGCCACGGCTAAAAGCAACGTCTGTTTTGCAAGCTACACAGTGCAGAGAAGTAAGCATTAGGTAAGGAACTGTGAGCAAACAATGCTAATTGTAATTAACAGGTCTGCCTTCCCTGCGATTAGCAATTTCCTGATTCAAGAAGTGAATAGCGTGTTCAAATAAGCCAGTTTCCCACTTTTTTTTAAAAAAAAATTAAAAAACAAGGAAAAATTTGGATCTCGTGGCGCACCATCTGTTGTCATCTCTATTATTCATCCCACTTCTAATGCGACAAGTTCCTGGAATTCATTTGCCACACCAGAGAACTAGATCCGAAGAGAATGTGTGGTGAAGGGTTGGGACTCTCCAAGGCAGGGGGGTCTTCAAAGTTGGCCCTTTGATGACTTGTGGACTTCAGCTCCCAGAATTCCTGTTCTGTTCTGTTCCATTCTGCAATCTATTCTATTCTGCAATTTATTCTATTCTATTCCATTCCATTCCATTCTGTATTTATATTCTATTCCATTCCATTCCATTCCATTCTGCATTCTATTCCATTCCATTCCATATTCTATTCTATTCCATATTCTATTCTATTCCATATTCTATTCTATTCTATTCTATTCTATTCCATTCCATTCCGCATTCTATTCTATTCCATTCCATTCCATATTCTATTCTATTCCATATTCTATTCTATTCTATTCTATTCTATTCTATTCTATTCTATTCTATTCTATTCCATTCCATTCTGCATTCCATTCCATTCCATTCTATTCTATTCCATTCCATTCCATATTCTATTCTATTCCATATTCTATTCTATTCTATTCTATTCTATTCTATTCTATTCTATTCTATTCTATTCTATTCTATTCTATTCTATTCTATTCTATTCCATATTCTATTCTATTCTATTCTATTCTATTCTATTCTATTCTATTCTATTCTGCATTCTATTCTATTCCATTCCGCATTCTATTCTATTCCATTCCATTCCATATTCTATTCTATTCCATATTCTATTCTATTCCATATTCTATTCTATTCTATTCTATTGTATTGTATTCTATTCTATTCTATTCTATTCCATTCCATTCCATTCTGCATTCCATTCCATTCCATTCCATTCCATTCCATATTCTATTCTATTCTATTCTATTCCATTCCGTTCTGCATTCTATTCTATTCCATTCCGCATTCTATTCTATTCCATTCCATTCCATATTCTATTCTATTCCATATTCTATTCTATTCCATATTCTATTCTATTCTATTCTATTCTATTCTATTCTATTCCATTCTGCATTCTATTCTATTCCATTTCATTCCATTTTGCATTCTATTCTATTCTATTCTATTCTATTCTATTCCATTCCATATTCTATTCCATTCCATTCCATTCTGCATTCTATTCTATTCTATTCCATTCCATATTCTATTCCATTCCATTCCATTCTGCATTCTATTCCATTCCATATTCTATTCCATTCTATTCTATTCTATTCTATTCCTTTCCATTCCATTCTGCATTCTATTCTATTCTATTCTATTCTATTCTATTCTATTCTATTCTATTCTATTCTATTCTATTCTATTCTATTCCATTCCATTCCATTCCATTCTATTCTATTCTATTCCATTCCATTCCATTCCATTCCATTCTGAGCACAATGCCTCACGAGGTCAGTGGCTCACCTCAATACCCCAAACACTGGTTTGAGTAAGGATGGAGGAACTTTGAGTCCCATCTGCCTTTAGAAATAATACGCCACAGCATCCAAATAGCGAAATCTGCTTAACTCTTTCTCCAAAAAAACAAAACAAAAACCAGGATCTG